ACCTTGGATTTGTGTTTGTGCTAAATGGCACAGCAGCAGCAACATGACCCTGGTGCCTATTGCTGAGGGGGCCCAGCACTAAAAGACAAGACAATGTAAAGCAGGGATTCTGTGAGCATACAGGTAGGTTCAGGGTGATTGTGTGTGTTATGACAGTAACTAAAGAAGCCGGATACAGAGACTGTACCAGTTTATGAGCAGGGTGAAGTGCCTGAGCACACGGTATCCTTGCTGCACTATTACAATGATAGTTGCAGCTGCAGCTCTAAGTGTAGCATTGAAGGACAGAAGCTCCTGTAAGTGGGTCCGAGATGAGCTGTGAGGATTCATTGACGTGGGCACCTGTCGATGCCAATGTCCACTACATGATCATCTATTCCCTCTCCAAATCCACAGCTGCTATTCTAACTCCATGTCTCAGACTTCCACAGAATAAAAACAAAAGATAAACGCTGTAGGCCATTCAGTCCCTCAATCTTGTTCCCTATTTCAGTTAGAGTAAAGGGCTGTATATGCCCAGTCACTGAACAACATGGGCAATGTTGAGAAATTTGGGAGAATCATATGACATCAGCAACAAGGAGATTCTCAACATCGAGAGCAGGAAGTATCATTTTCCAACAAGTATTGGACAACGAACTGTGGGCTGCCAGCATTTACCAGGGGCACGGCTGGCCTTTAAAGATGGTACCGATATTAGGGACCCAGGAGCTCCCAGCAGTGACCAGTACCGCTGCCTGAGGGGAGTTGGAGAATACCAAAGGGTGTGGTGCTTCAGTAATGAGAAAGGTTTCAGAGAATAGTGTGAGAAAATTCACTGGGGCTCACAGAGGGAAACCCTCTATGAATTTGCCAAATTTGACATGTATCTAGTATCTGGTAAAATTTCTGTATCTCTACTCCTTTAAAGCATCTCAATTTCTTTAAAGTTTCTGTATCACAGCTATATTTATCCATTGTGATTCCACTTCCCCAAATACCTTTCTTGATATCATTGTCCTCAACTGCCATAAGAATGGTGCAGGCGCTACTTAAGGATGTTCTAGACCATCATCACCAAACTGGAGCAGGTCTTGAGTTCAGATTCACTGTCCCCTGCCAATGGCTGTCAAGGTCACAACTGCCCTGTGTTTTTAATGTCAGTGGCTCATTTCAGTCTGGGCTCCTGTGTCACTTCTCCCAGTCCTCAATCCATGAAGGTATCCAGGATGTGACTGATGCCATTTTCTCCTCTGTCCAGCTGTTCATATCTTATCACAGGATGAGGAAGGTCAAGCAGCTTGGGCAGTGGGACCCTCCATCATCACCGGGTTTCCCCAGGGTGGAGAGTTCAATTACCTGCACCCCGATTGCTTTGAGAAAGCCGTATTACCAACCTGCAGATTTGGTTCACAGAAAAGGCTTCCACTCCAGCAGTGGGCCAAGTTCTGGAGGCTTGTGACAATGCCCTGGAAGCTGTCATAACTCTTACATTTCAGAGAACTAACTCCTGTTGAGGTCCTTAGCCCATGCAGGGGATGAGATGCACATGCAGTGACAGAGTGAGTGGTGGCCCTCTCCGTGCAGGGTAGCAGAGAGATGATGGTGGCACTTACCCTTACAGACCACAGAAGATCATTGACCTTCTTTCTACACTGCTGGGGGCCTCTTTTCACCTGAGACGCAGCACTGACCTGGGCTGTGTACAGGCTAACTGTTTCTGGATCTCCTGTGGCTCCCGTGGTGATTAGATGGACAAATGACTGCCGACCACTCCACCACTCCATCCACCAACACTTCCAGGTCCCTGCTCATAAAGCAGGGAGCAAGATTTCCTTTCCTCCAGGCCATATGCCTGGTTTTAATGGTCAAGCACTGCAGTGTGAGGTTGGGTTTCTGGCTTGCACAGTCAGAAGGGTTGTGCAGTTGGAATTTCAATATAGACTTATAGACATTTACAGCACAGAAGGAAGCCATTTAGCCCATTAAGACAATGAAGATTCCTCACCCTAATCCTACACTAACCCATTTTCAAGCTTTCGCACATAGTCTTGGAGCAATGCAAGTGAATATCGAAATGGTGCTTAAACGTAGGAGAGTTTCTGACATGATTACCCTTTCATGCAGTCATTTTCAGACACCTAGCTCCATCTGGGTGAAAACATTTCTCAACTCTCCTATCTTAAATCTTTCCCCTCTGGTTATTGACCCCTGTACTAGTGGAAAAAGTGCCTTCCTAACTACCCAAACTATGCCTTTCATAATCTTATACATAACTATCAGGTCTCCTGTCAACCTTCACTGCTCCAAGGAAAATAACCCCAGCTTCTCCAATCTTTCCTCACACCCTCCAGTTCAGACTATCTCCTCGTAGATTTCCTTTGCACCCTACCTCCGTGCAATCATATTGTTCCTATAATGTGGTAATCAAGACTGCGTGTCGTGCTCCAGTTCTGGTCTAAATAACATTTTAATTGCAGCATAACCTCCCTGCTTCTATGCCTCGGTTAACAAATTCAAGGATTCTTTATGCCTTCTTAACCGCTTATCTACCTGTCCCGCCACCTTTAAAAATTGGTGGATAAATAGCCCATTGTCCCTCGGATCTTCAGCACTTTCCAAGAACATCTGTTAATAATGCAATCCCTTCTCCTGCTAGCCCTTCCCAAATGCATTACCTCACAAGTTTTTGGATTGAATTCCCAATTACTACAGATCTGTCCTCCCTGACCAGATGTTTAATATTCTCCTATAGTTTACAGGTATCCTCTTCACTATCTATCGCACTACCAATTTTCCTGTTGTCCTCAAACTTCTTGAACATAACCCTGTGCATTTAAGTCCAAATCATTAAAGTGCACCACAAACAGGAAGGCCCCCAGCACTGAGCCCTGCAGGACCCCACTCAAAACAAACTTGCAGTCACAGAGACATCCCTCTCTTATCATCATCTGCTTCCTGCCTCTCAGCTAATTTTGGATCCAACATTGCCACTTCTTTAGATCTCATGGGCTCTTACTTGCTTGACCAGTCTGCTATGAGCCATCTTATGAAAAGCCTTCTGAAAGTCCATGTAGACCATTTAAATGCATTGCTCCTGGTCAGCTTCTCAACCAATTTGATTAAATTTGTCCAATACAACCATCTCTTAACAAATCCATGCCCGTTATCCCTGATTAATTTGAGTCTTTCCAAGGGCAGATATATTCTGTTCTTCAGAATTTATTCTAATAAAATCCTCACCACTGGGGTAAGACTGATTACTCTGTAATTTCGGGGTCTATCCTTTCCTCTATCTCTTTAAATGAAAGGACAGCATTAGAAGTCCTCCAGTTCTCTGGCACCACATCTGTGACTAAATAGGATTTGAAAATTACTGCCAGTGCCCCTGATATCTCATCCTTTGCCTTCTTCAACACCCTGCCATACATATTAACTCAGGCCTGCAGATTTATCTACTTTTAAGGCCGTTAAGCTTCTTAGTACTTCCCCTTTTTATATATTAACTGCATCTAATATTTTACAGTCCTCCAGCCTGACTTGTATACATTGTGAAGATGGATGCAGAGTCCTCTTTGAGGACTGAAACCCCATCTTCCAGGTCCACTGTATGGCCACTAATGGGCCCTAACCTTTCCTTAGTTATTCTCTGGTTCTTTATAGAAAATGAAACTTTGAGTTTTTCCTTTGTTCTCCCTACCAATGTTCTTTGTCAGCACTCTGTAAACATTCCAAATTTCCCAGCTCTCCTGCAGTTTTCAACTGCTCTGGGGATTCTGCCATAGTGTAGTGTCAGAGTTTTGACACACAGCACATCAGCAGTAGCCAGTCCTTCTGCCTCTCAGCTTCCCAGAGGAAATTACTTCAGAGCCCATTGTGTAACTAATAAGGTGAAGTGAGGAGGATTGCATGGGGAAAATTACTCCAAGCCTTGGCAGACTGGGCACCATGAATCTCACCAGACGCAACATTTGAATTGAGAAGGACCCACCCAATCCCTGCTTTGACCAGTTAAAGACGTCACTTGAGGGATGAGGAAGTCCACAATCAGCTCTTGCATCAAATATTGATTTCGTTCATGTCAGCTAAACTCAGCGCTACCTTTTACCCAATATATTGGGGCATGGGACTCGACTTATGCTGATACTCTTACAGCATCAGGTGGAAAATAGTCACTCCCAGCAGATGAATGGGCGTTAGGCTTCAGCAGAGTCTGACAGTGAAGCCATCCACTCACTCCTCATCAAAGGCAGGTCTGAACTTTGCCAGCAAGCTGGCTGAAACTCACTTCATGTCAGTCGCTTGGTTACTATCTGTTTGCTGTGAAATTTCTGTCTCATGTCTGCAAGTCTGCATTCTAGTTATTTTAAATTGAGTTTTTTTTGCCGCTTTCTAAAACCTTGCTTTGACCAATCAAATACACAACTTGAGTTAGAAGGAAATCAACAGTAAGTTTGTTTACTCACTTTTGGGCCAGGATAATTCCACCCAGATACATTGCAAGCTGCCTCTGCTCCACTGGGGGTAATATTGGGGCACTGACATTGAGACAGAGTCAGGCGAGGATTCTCTTCCTCCAGTTTGACCAGCCCCATCCCCCCACTTCCATTCAACATAGTCTCACAGTAGCCTACACCCTGCTATCTGACTCACTGTCGTTCGCACAGAATCCTGCAGTGTCCTCACTAAAATACTGGGCTGCATTCAGACTCTGATCATATGTACAGAGAAAGGTGTTTAGTTACATCAACAAGAAGGCTGATTGTAAGTACCATCAAGAAAATGTTGTTCGAAAAATTTCAACATAATTTTATGCTGAACTTTATAGCTGTTCAATGTGTAGGAATTTGAGTGAGGGAGTGAGATACTTGTACCTTTCTTGTACTTTCTTGGGGTGCAGTATGAATTGGATTTGTTTTCATATTGAATAGAATTAGATATTTTATAATTTTGAAATGTACAGGTCAACATATAATTCTGTTGGATTCAGGCAGCTAGCAGGTAAGGTACCTTCATTGTTTCATGTGATTGGTTATTGTCGGGATTTTACCCAGATACAGAAACCATTATATATCTGAGTTATGATTTTACTTCACTGTTAGATGAAGCCTGTGTATTCCAGCTATCTGTGGTACAGGGAGTTGTTGAATATGGTGATGTCACACATTGTGAATTAGATGACTGACAGTTTTATGGATCAGGTCATTGTCAATAATTAATGTATCTGGTGGATTCCACCCTCATATTGTATGGGCCAGGCATGATCTCAGGATAATGATTGTTTAAATGTAAAAAAATGTACAGCAGTGAAAAGTTGATGCAGCAAACAACAACATTCGACATTTTACATTTTTGCTTGAAAACAAAATAAGATGCATAATTTACTATAAGTTGAATCTTTCATATGTTATTGGATTCATTGGAAATGGAGCATCTTTGCGTGATTTTATGCAGAACATTGTACTGAAAATTTTCATTTCTCTGGTCAGTTAAGAAAATGTTTTCTAGCATTTTTCTTTAATTTATTCAGTTGTTATCAAATTGAGCTTCCCCTTCTATACCAGAAATCTGCTTTGAGCAATCAAGATATGACTGTTAAGCAATTCTAGCAAGGAGGAAGTCAATAATAAGTTCCCTTTTCTCATTTTCAGTTGCATCAGCTAATTATCTGCTTTACCCATTGAACTCAGTACAAGCTGCTTCTTTCTGATTGGGGTAAGAGTTGATACTAGGGTGTTCTGAGATCTGCTAACATTATTGCAAATGAGGCATGAAAACCTGAATTTCAGTTGGACAGACTATCCATTCAGTACATAAAATCCACACTTTCATGTCCTGGCAGCAAGTTTAAACTTATTCCAAGCTGACTGAATGCTCAAATACCAATTTCTATCCGTACTTTTCACTGAGAATTTAAATCAATTTTGTTAAATCTGTCACGTTGATTCCAAATAAATAGCCTTTTCACTTTAGGGATCAGCCACATATCTCTTGTCCATATTGCCTCTGGTGCTTCTCCTTGCTGGAATTCCTAAGCCCTCTCCAAATCCAAAGATTCACAATCCTCCGAATGAAGATATTTCTTCTGATCTCAGTCTTAACTAGCTGACCCTTTATTCTCTTATCTATGCCACCTAGTGCTGGACTTTCTATCCAGGAGAGCACCCTTGCACAATCTACCCTGTTAAGCCTTTTAAGAATGTTATATATTTCAATGAGAGCACCTCTTATACTTCTAAATTCTAAGGAACATTAGCCTAGTACAAAAAAATCTCCCTAAGTAGGACAATCCCTCATCCCGAAAATCAATCCAGTGAACATGTTGCGCTTTCTCTAAGGCTAGTGTGTCCTTTTCCAGCAAAATCAAAATACTGCGGATGCTGGCAATCTGAATTAAAAGCAGGCAGTGCTGGAGAAATTGACCAGGACTGGCAGCATCTGTGGAGAAAGAAACAGTGTTAATGTTTTGAGTCTGATGTGCCTCTTCTTTAGAACAGACGGAGCTAGCAAAGAAAAGGTTTACCATGTGTTGAAGAAGAGATAGAGGGTCCCATACAATATATGGTAAAGTTGACCTGAGCACAAGGCAAAGTGGGTCCTAATGGGAGTAAAAGAGAGATAGAGATGATAAGGAAGTATTAATGGTAAGTGTCAGTATCAGAAAATTGGTCAGCTCTGCTCAGTGCAAACCCTCACAAACAAGGCACTGGGTGTGTAATCAATGTGGAGGGCAGAGTTCATGGTCTGAACTTGTTGAATCCATATCTAATCCTGAGAGCTGGAAAATAAGGTGTTAATCTTTCAGTTTTTGTTGGGTTTGCTAGGACTCTGCTGCAGGCCTAGGGCAGAAATATGAACATAAGAATAAAACGGTATATTGAAATAGCAAACGATCAGAAGTTCAGGCCATTCTTGTTGACAGAACCGAGATGTTCTGCACCTCATCACCCAGTCTATGTTTGGTCTTACCACTGGAGAGGAGACATGAGGTCATATTTGAGTGTCCATCAGTGAAAATCTTCCTTGGGAAGGTAATTAGGGAAATTTTTATGGAAGCCTTGGTAATGATATGAAGAATTTTTTTATGGAAGCCTTTCAGTGGCACATATATTTCTAGGAATCATGCTGATCTGGAGATGTGGTCAGGCCCTTTGTTTCACAGGTTCCATGGAGAAGGGTGATATTAAGAGAGCAACATTGATTTTATTTGTACAATGTTGAGATGTTGCCTGTCTAAATTGGCCATGAGAGTTCAAGGCAACAATTTTTTTGTGAAGCGGTCAACTATTTTGGTGAGAACAAACCCCTTTTGTAATTCATCACTGTGGATTTCAACTATCTATCTCTTCATTTCAAGCATGAGGGTTGGGCAAGGTCATAGTAGAGATTCAGATATCATGACTGCAATGGGTACCTCAGGGATAATGCTGATTTGCCATGGTGCAGCTATAAATAGTGCTTTCAGAGATCAGATCTGGGGAGTAATCATGATAATTCAATAAAGACCTTGGCCACATCCGTCATTCCTCAATTAGATATGCTGGGGTGAGTCCTCAGTGGGTTATTTTACAGAAAGGCAGATTTTAAGGTGGACAGATTTGGTGTAACATGTTTGAAACAGCATTGCAGTGGTTGAATGCATTAGCCCATCCTTTGTACACCAACACTGAATGAGGAGAGGCAGCAAAATATGGAGAAAATATAACCCTATAAATTGGTACAAATAGGTACATTCCAATTTCAGTCAACTATTTCACTTACTTCCAGAGCTGAAAGGAGAATGGACATTGTGCAATATGAATCACCGCAGGTTCAAGTCTTTATCAGGAGTGGACATCAGTTTTTGGACAAGGTTCGGACATTCCTTGCAAATGCTGTGAGAGAGGGAAGTCTCCAACAAGAAAGAGCAAGAGCCCACTTCAAAGAGGTATTCTTTTTAACTTATACATTAAGGAATCATCAAACGTGGAAAGTGCATGGTAAAGTTTCCCCTCTAACATACTGTTTAATTGATAACTGCCATTTACTAATTTTTAAAGTTTTTGATTGATACACAGTTGGAGTGACTGCCATCATCCACCCAGCTTTGTGGCAGTAACAGCCATGGAGGGATTCACATGCAATTTTACACCGTTTAAAACATCCAATATAACAAATTGTCAGAGTTGTCATTTTTTATGAATGCAAGCACCAAAGAGCTGGAACATCAGGGTGTTCAGTCAAGGACAACAGTGCTTCACCCTCCAGTCAGCAACATCTTCCTTATCTTCCACTTGATCTGTACCTGGTCATGCACTGTCAGCCTAGCAGGGGAGGTGAGATAACAAGGGGAATAAAAGAAGTGGCAGAGAGATTGAGAGAGTCACTGTGAGGTCAATGGGAGGGATAAGAGTACAGTCGGAAATGAAAGGAGCACTGGAGAGAGTGAGAGCACGGTGAAACCAATGGAAGGGGGTTGTTGTCCGTCTCTAAGAGACAACAATGCATACACAGACAAAGATACGGCAGAGACACTTAGAGCTCTATAAAACCACAATTCATTTATTAAGCACTTAAATGAATAATACACACTTGTAACTATTAGGGATATCTCAATCACTGTCTTTCACTACCCTGATTTCTGTAACTGAACCCAAATGTTATTGTCTTGAAGAACTCACAGCTGGCCAGGCTGAAAACTCTGCTCGACATCTTCACCACACCTCCTGACCTAGGGTACATTTTTCCACAACGTTAATCTTCAAAGTAGTGTTGAACAAAGGGATTTCTTCAGGCTTTTTATACACAAATCTCTGTGCCAAGAATGTGCCTTGTTTGGAATTATGCATGTACGTGACCAATCCTGAACATGTTGCCCAAAAGCACACCATCTTTGTACTTATCCATGCGTGTGAGCAATCCTGAATGTTTTGTCCAAATGTATATCTTATCTGGCAAAGACAGCAGTTCCTGGTTTCCTGCAGTTTTAACTCTTAGCAGATCTGACTGACACAGCGTAATTCCATTCACAAAGTAGTCCATTGTTAGGCCTCTTATCAGTTCCTGTTATCTTCAGCCTAATCCAACAGGGTGAGTGTACAATGGGAATAAAAGTGTCAGTGAGAGAGAGAGTCACAATGTGACAGGTAGGAGGTAACTGAAGAAAATCAAAGTGGGAAGCAGGTTAAATGATTCATCAGTGAGTATCTTCCTTTTCTATCTGTTTGCATGTCGTATTAGGAGCTGCGAAATTAAGAATTTAAACAGGTTATTACAGTGGTAAGGGAATTAATAAGATTATGAATTCAGAGTAAGATCAGAGATATTAAGTTAAATCAATGATTTAAACAGGACACTAGCTAGGTTCTTGTAGAGGTAGATGTTTCCAGATAATATCTTTAAAAACTTCCTTCATATTTTTTCATGATAACTGTGAGGTGCTTGATAAGCCTTTCGTTGGCTTGTGAGATTTATCCAGATTTTTGTGGCTAGGGTCATTAGTAGATAATCTTCTATATTTTTGGGTCGGTTCCAGTGTCCTTGAAAGGAAAGGGCCTTGCATTTGAAAGTACATTTGATAACCTCAGGTATATCAAAGGGTTTCACAGTAGAATAAGTACTTTCAAAGTGCATTATGGGTGCATCATGGACAATTATGGCAACGAAATGTGTGCACAGCAAAATCCCATAAACAGTGATGAGATAATTGACAACTTCTAATCTGTTGTTATAATATTAGTAAAAGGATAAATAATGAAACAGCTTAAGTGGGAAAGCAACTAGCTGTGGTGCATTACATATTAAAGTCTACAGCCAAGATGTTTTCAGAGCCCCCTGGGCTTTGCAATGCCACACCTTCTTTATATTACGTTGAGTGAACTAATTGCTGAACATTGATTTCTATGATAGCTGGAATATTGAGTGCAGAAGTGGGATTATCCATTGAGCACTTTTGGCTGAAGACACTTACAAAGATTTCAGCTTCACCTTTTCAGTTGCATATGATGGCTCACAATGCTGGAGGAAGAGTAGGCTTGCAAGGCCTTGGTCCTGTCAATTCATAAGTTCTTCAACACCATTCTTGACAGGAAATGGTGGGGCTGCAGAGCTTGAGTCTGATCTAATGGTGTGAAACACTGACCAATACGTGCCGGAAAAACTGTTGAAGACTGTTGTTCATCTGCAGAAAGAATACTCTACACTGTCCTGATCTGCTGGAGAGCTGGTACAGAGATGATGGGCTGAGTCACCCCCATCTAAGAAAGCAATATCTTCTCTCACTCTGAAAACAACAAATGCTGGAGATCTCTGCAAGTCAGACAGCATCCACGGAGAGAGAGCAAGCTAACGTTGCGAGTCTAGATGACTCTGCATCAGAGATGAAGTGAAGTGTGGAAGGGACAGCACTTACGCTACAGCTGGGGCGGTGTGGCGGAGGTGGAGTTAGAATGCCGGTGGAGAAAAATTGTTGAAAGTTCTCCATCAGCATTCTACACCCCACCACTGCCACACCCACCCCAAACTATACAATAAATGCTGCCCCTCCACACTTCACTTCAGCTCTGATGAAGAGTCATCTAGACTCTAAATGTTAGCTTGCTCTCTCTCCATGGTGCTGTCTGACCTGCTGTGATCTCCAGCATTGGTTGTTTTCAATACAGATTCCAGCATCTGCAGTAATTTGCTCCTATCTTCTCTCACTCATTTTATTACTGCTTCATCTGCTTTGCCAAGTCTGTTCATTCTGTGGGCTGTTTCCCTTACTATCTTAAACTATCAAGAGATATATGGTTAAACCACAGTCCCATTATTCCATGTTCATTGCATTTTTAGTACAAATGTTTCTGTTTCCATGAACTTGTTTCTCATCCTGCTGGCACTAATATAGAAATGATTCAACTTCACAACCTGATGAGTAGCTGTCATCTATGTTGCAGAAATGACTATCTGGCCATCAGAAAATCCAGATCAATATGCAGAATTAAGGGGAGAAAGCAGGAGAATGGCTTTAATTCACGATGCTCATTTGGAGAGCCAGTACAGAGACGATGGGCTAAATCACCCCCTTCTGTGCTGTTATAATTCTGAGATTCTATGTTTGCATCTTTATTTGTGACAGAAATGTTATATATAAAATGTTTGTTTTTTAATTTCACAGATATTGCATATAATATTATTTTATGGCCAGATTTATCGTCTTAAGATTGAACCAGAAGAAATTTTGCAGGAAAGTCAGAATGAGCTCTCTGCTAGGTATCCAGATGTCTTTGAGAGGTGCAGAACCCACCTTCCAACACGTCCTCCTTTCACGGTACTACTTGATGCGGTAAGTCTGTAGATGATACCGACATTGGTGGCGTAGTGGACAGTGAAGAAGGCCATTTCAGAGTACAATGGAATGAGCCAAGGAGTGGCAGATGGAGTTTAATTTAGATAAATGTGAGGTGTTGCATATTGGTAAGGTAAATCAGGGCAAGACTTTTACAGTTAATGATAGGACCCTGGGAAGCATTACCGAACAGAGATACCTAGGGGCACAGGTGCATATTTCCTTGAAAGTGAAGTCATAGGTAGGCAGGGTGGTGAAGAAGGCATGTTGCATGCTTGCCTTCATTGGTCACTGCACTGAGTAGAGTAGTTGGGATGTCATGTTGTGGCTACACAGGACACTGGTGAGGCCACTTTTAGAATTCTGCATTTAGTTCTGGTTCTAGTTCTAGTTCTAGAAAGATGTTGTTAAACTTGAAAGGGTTCAGAAACGATTTACAAGGATGCTGCCGGGATTAGAGGGTTTGAGCTATTGGGATAGACTGAATAGGCTGGGGCTTTTTTTTCCTGGAATGTCAGAGGATGAGAGCGTGACTTTATAATGGTTTATAAAATCATGAGGGGCATGGATAAGGGTGAATAGCCAAGGTCTTTTTCCTCAGGTGGGGGTGTCCAAAACTAGAGGGCATAGGTTTAAGGTGAGAGGGGAAAGATTTAGAAGGGACCTGAGGGGCAACTCTTTCACAAAGAAGGTGGTGCATGTTTGGAACAAGCTGCCAGAAGTGGTGAAGATGGGTACAATTACAACATTTAAAAGGTGTCTAGATGGGTATATAAATAGGATAGATTTAGAGGTTTATGGGCCAAATGTTGGCAAATGGGACTTGTTCATGTTTAGGATATCCTCTTGGCACAGACAAGTTAAACCAAAGGGTCTGTTTCCCTACTGTATAACAGCACAGAGACACAGTATGACTTCACTTTAGTGCCATTTCACCAACCATTTGTGTAAGCCTTCAAGTGTGATTAGTGTTCACCAAAGCGAATCCACCTTCTTGGTTGAGGCCAGGGTAACGATCATTGACTGACTGAACTAAGGCTTACTGCAGTGTATGAGGTTCATGTTTCGGTGCATGGGGCTCACAACCAACTTCAGAAAATCTTAGGCCTGTGCCAGAAAAGCAGCTCCCCGGTTTTGAAATCGCCCTGAGAAAAGAAGGTTCACAAGGAGGTTAACAGGCCTGTGATCTTGGCAGTGAATATCCCCTTCAAAGGTTCTTCACTCCCAACAGATACATCTCTGGCCCTCTCCTCAAACCCTCAAAAAATCTATTTAAAGCCAGAAAAGATTAGTTGGCTTCACTGAGGTTTCCAAGTTAGCAGAGAGCAGGCAAGCCTTCAAACAAGAAATAGCTATAAGCATATTTTCCACCTTCGAGGGGACCTTGTTTTCATTGTACTAAAGCATCATCTGCAACGTGGGAGATGACATAGTATCTCTCCCACTCCTTTTCCAGTCTTAAAATGTCCCTTTATTTAAAGCTGAACATATAGGGGTGTGCTGTAAAGACTCAATGATTGATTTTTCCTCACCAGAATCTGTTCACACCCACATTAAGGTGTATCTTAAGAAAGTGGAGTTGCATGTCATAAGATGACACACACACACACACACACACACACACCCTTCCTATTAACCAGAAGGTAGCCCGCACAGTGGCTCAGTGGTTAGCACTACTACCTCACAGCTCCAGGAACCAAGGTTCAATTCCAGTCTTGGGCGACTGTCTGTGTGGAGTTTGCACATTCTTCCCGTGACTGCAGGGGTTTCCTCCAAGTGCTCCAGGTTCCCCCCACAGTCCAAAGATGTGCAGGCTAGGTGAATTGGCCATGCTAAATTGCCGGTAGTGTTCAGAGATGTGTAGATTAGGTGGTTATAAGGGGAGTAGGTTCGGGTGGGCTGCTCTGAAGGTCGGTGTGGACTTTTTGGGCCAAAGGGCATGTTTCCACACTACAGGGATTCTATGAATTGAACAAAGACAATGAGGAATCACTTCAATTCTCCCAAGGCTCCTGCTCAAAGTCTCTGCCAAACTCCCTCAGAATTTCTGACCATTATGAGAAAGTTAGAAGGCTAGGATTGCCAGGGCACAAATGGTAAATAACCAGGGGAAATATAGTGGTTTTAAATAGCAGGGAAGTTGTTTACAGTAACCTACATTTGTCACTGAAGGACTAATTGTGGAATGGTCTGGAGTACGAGAGAAAGGATTTTAAAATCTGTGAGCAGGAGGGTAAAGATTACAGAGATATGGTAGTGGTAAGATTGAGAGGGAAGTTATAATTAAAGGAAAGAATGTGATAAGGTGACCTATTCACAATGGGTTCTGAAGCATGAAAGATCATGTCCTTGCTAAGTTAAAGGGACTTACTCTTTCTGGTCCTCACGCCATTGCTGGAAAAACACTCATTTGCTGAATCCTGCATTAACTGCCAGGTTTCCTGAGCTCTGGGAAACCTGGTCCATTGTTGCTAAAATTAAATGATTGCCATAATGTGATGATTGCATTTAAATATTACAATTACATCCTGCCTCTCCAGATGGAGAATCTTCAGTCACAGCACCAGCCTGCTGCAGTGAAAGTTGATTTAGGTCTGTTCATGATGGGGGCTGTACTTGGATTTAGCATATATAACAGTTTATGTCACCCCTGACTCTCTTTTGCCACTTTTGAGTGATTAACCTCCCACTCGCCCCATTTTCTAATGTACCTGTCTTTGTGGGACTTTGACATGTGGTAATTGTCTTCCATAATTGCCTGCATATCAATAAATGCATGTGAAAACTAATTCATCGACTGTGAAATGCTTTAAGTTTAAAGGCGTTAAAGAATTACAAGCTGTTATTTCTTTTCATATGGTTCATGTTTTACAGATTGTTGATGTCGTAGGAAGAAATGCAGAAGTTGTTTTGCAACATCTATTGTTGCAGGTAAATGACATGGAAGTTACTAATGCTGACCAAAATCCATGTAGAAATATTTTTGTTTCAGCAGTTGTCACCTTCTGCTATTTTTTTGATGAAGATACTCAAAGACAAACAGACAATTACTTTGGTGCTTCAGTGTCATGTGGAGATGTAACGCAGAGAAAAATAATGATCGATATATTGTGCTGCCAGAAATGGCACCAAGACATTAGCTGGGCAGCATGTATTGGCAAGGTATTGAATCAAAATGCCTTCAGATTTCCTCCTCATGTGTTCTCAATGGCATTTCACATATACACTCAGGGACAAAGGACCCAGGCAAACCAACGTGTTGATCATGATCTGGTTAGACTTGGGAATAACCCATTGTTTGTAATTGCCAGAAATCTCATGCAATTTGGATCCTTAGCTCCCAGGGGACCTTGTCAAAAATGCTTCACAGTGTTCCCAAACATTATTTTTCATTTACTTCCACCAGAAGGTGAACATCCTGATTGGGAATATGGAAACTGTGCAGAGTATGAATCACTGAGCCAGCTACTGTACTCTGATCCGCAAATTGCCATGAAACTGCAACCTAACAAGTTTCGAATTGGACGAGATCAATTAATGAATGAAAAATATGAACGGCTTCAAGAAAATCTTGAAGAGTTAGAGTTTAGATTCGGGCCTATAATTTCATATTATAGTCCGTTATAAGGGGATCTGTCCTGGAAAGATTCCAACATTGAAAGCACATTAGAACACACAATATGTCATATTCTTGGTCAACCAACTAATAATTCAACCGTTTGTATGCAGTTGTGCAGTATTACGCTTTATACAATTAATTCAATTCAATGAATAGAAAATTCTAGGGAACATATTACCAATTTTCAAATTTGCATTTCCTCTATTTATTTGTTTATCTGGAAAGTTATCCCAGTGCAGTGCACCAAACGCAGTATTTGCACTTTTGAAGGTAAAAACACCTGACTTTCTCCAAGCCAAGGTAGTAATGAGTGATCACTAAGCTGGAACTTCCATTGGCTTATTACTGTGGCTCTTTTCAAGGTCAGTACTAGTTATAAATTCCACCTGGAGGGTAGGGAAGGGTAGATAAAAGCCTCCTGCAGTGTAATGTTGCAGCATTAGTTGACCAGGTGTAACTTCTGCAGAAATTTGAAAATTAATCATATCACTATCTTTAAATAGGCTAATTTCTATAATTCAATCAACTGCTTTAGAGTTAGTTGTAGTAGAAGAACTTGTCATTTCAGAATTAAATATCTCCCCAAATAGGAATGTGGAATAGCCAATATAATCTTTTCCCCCATTTGAATGACATCATAACATGCTGGTCCTCAAATTTAACATACTTTCTGACCATTGTCAAACAAAGTGGGGGATGGTATATCCTGATTTAGAATATTTTATATATTGATCTGCCAGATGATAGCCTAGCACATATTTCAGGAATTCTATGTCTTATTCTGATGACAAGAAAGTTTTAAATATGTATGTGAATGATCTCCCATTGAATCTGAGACAAATATATACTGTAATTATCTTCCTGTTTGAATTACAGAGCTGTGCTTCTTTATTGAGAAACAATGCAAAGCAGAAAAAAATGTGCTTACACAAGCTCAAATTTAGGGAAAAACAATCTACACATAGCTTAAGTTTTCAAACTACAAGCTTCATTTAGATTTGGCTTATTTTTCAAATATCACTGTTATAACATTCTTTTACAATATCACAGTTATAGATTGCCAGGTGACCTCATAAAAATACATTGGCTATCTTTTTCAAGTTAATCTACCAACAAATAAGATACACAGCTCATCATCTGTCTTAGAGACTGCTAAAACATTGGGGAAGATTAATCTAACAACTGTTTCTAGTTACTGTACTTTAGTTAATTAGGAGAGATGTGTGAAAGACAGTTAGCTTCAAGCTAAGGATAGTAGGTAGTTAACGGAAAACAATATGCTATGGTCCATGAAGTTACATTAAAAGATTAAATGGGTTTGTCTGGAGCCTGATAATTTTGGAACAAAAACAAATTGCTGGAGAAACTAACCAGGTCTGGCAGCATCTGTGGAGAGAAAGCAGAGTTAACATTTTGAGTCCACTGACCCTTCATCAGAACTGATATTAGTGTGACTAAAAGAAAGAGGAAGTACTGCGTTGTAATGTTCTATGTTCTATGTTCCCTACTGACTCCGAGAAAAATAATAAAACATGACGTCAAATATGCACTCAAAAGAGTTAGATTTTAACCTCAGACCATAGTTGTTTAACATTTGATTTGTATCCTCAACAGTAGAAAAATCTGGAGAGGAAACCTTGCTATCTATCCATAGTTCTTCCTTGTCCCAATGTTACTGAAATATGGTTTACTTGTGTATTCTCATGCCTAGCTTTGTTGTTTTCTGACAAGTTTGATTTCACCAACCTTTCATGTCCAATATATACCACTTATCATTCATGTGCACGTTAAAATAGGAGGTGCCAGTTTCTTGACACCTGACTCTGTGACTGGTTCCAATGTCGGTAAAATAGTAAATTCAGTTCTGACCATTTTGTTTATTCTACATTGGTTTCTTGAACTTTCCTCAATCTGTGGTCAAGTGTTTGCTGCAGCCATTTTAAGTCAGTGCCTGAGATAACAAGGTGTAGCGCTGGATGAACACAGCAGGCCAAGCAGCATCAGAGGAGCAGGAAGGCTGACGCTTCGGGCCTAGACCTTTTTTGCTAGTATTGACAGCATCAGATGTGTTGGAATTCAAGAAGAAAATAATTATCTGAGTGTTGAAACTACAAATAGTTTGTAGACATCAGCTACACTCAATACTGTTGGAGAAAGAATATCAATTGAATTCTACCAGAGCTTTTTGAATTCAATACGCTGTAATTTTATCAAAGTCAATGCAAATAAACATAATGCAGAGGAAATTCCAATGTTCAGTGTTTTTATTTGATTAAAATGATAAAAAGAATGCATTGTATTCATATAGACATGTGAATTCAGGATTCCACAAAATGCTAAACAGTCAGAGTTGTCCCTGGCTATTTTTGCAAGCAATAAATACCCACAAAAAATGGTGTGATAAAGACCAGATAATGTATTTAGTTCACACTGTGATGTCCATGCCGGCTCTCTGTAAGAGAGGCTCAGATCGTTCTGCTCTCTGGCCTTTCCCTTAGCTTTCTCTTCCAATATTTATCCAAAGCATTTATGAAAATGACCCAAATATATCTGCCCCCAGCATTACTAAGGCAGTGCCTTTCAAATCCTGACTAGCCACAGCATAAAATCAATTTTTCACATTATTAGTTTTGACACTCACCTGAAGTTGTTTCCCTTTGGATCACAACCTTCTGCCAACTGAAAAAGTTTCACCTGATCAGTTCTGCCTGGACCCTACATGAATCTGAACACCTCTCAAATTTCCTCTCAATTTTCCATGAGAAGGACAACCTTGCTTTGTCCAATCTGCACGGCATCCCTCCCATACCCAGTCTACCAGCCTATCCCCACACAACCCAACATTTACCGTGGCTGATCCACCTAGCCTACACATCCGTGAACACTACAGACAGTTTAACCTATCCTGCAACCTTTGGACCACAGGAGGAAACTGGAGCACCTACAGGAAGCCCACACAAACAGTCACCTGAGGCTGGAATTGAACCCAGATGCCTGGCAATTTGCAACAGCAGTGCTAACCACTGAGCCACAGTGCCACCCACAGTCTGGTAGTGGTATTATAATTGTGTTTAATTACTTGCAGATGTACAACAAATCATTGTGGTTTCACCTAAACAATAGAACAGAATAGCAATTTGTTGTCATGTGTATTTTTACAAAAAAAAAGTGGGAAGTGTTTAAGTCACCATATCATGGCACCTATCTTGAAACTAGAGGAAAGATTGGCTCCAGTACAATCCTTCACTAAATGGCTTTTTGGAATACAACATGCTATTAGATTTCTCTGTTCCCCACTAAAAAGTTACATTTTATGTTTCATATTATCTCTCCTCATTCTTCCAACTAAATGAATCCCTTCATAACTTCTCTCCATTAATACATAGTTATGCATCCACCCATTCAACCAACCCTTCTGTGCACTGTGTCCCCTTGAAGTTAATCATCATCCTCTTCACAGTTCCAAGTTTTATGCCATCCGTAAATTTTAAATCCCAAGTCTTGGTCCTTAATAAATATCCGAATTGCTTTTGATGAGGGATAAATATTATTATGTTTACCTTGGATAACCTCTGTACTCTTCTTCAAAATATGGTAGGTGATCTTTTACACCATCTCAGAAGGTGAATAAGGTTTCAGTTTAACGTAAGCTAAGAGATGGCACCTCCAACAGTGCATATACCAGATTCTCCAGCAAGTACTGAATTTGTTTCCACCAGTCCTTCTTTTTCTGGGCCCAACCAACATGGATGTTCTTTTATCAGTCCTGTCACTCCTACTCCACATCATGTTTGACTGATGTAGAACATCCAGGTGTATCTATACGTATTACCTCATAAAAGATCCTCCCTTTGTTCTTTCTTGAAATATGAGAACACAGTGTCTAACTGTCCCAGTATTTCTGTGTTGGCTAATTGAACTGTTGAAGGTTAACTTTGAGAAGTGTTCACATCTCCTTCCACCTCACTCTCATTATCTCCATCTGTTATCTTCCAATACTGTCACCAACTAACACGCTCTTTCTTATCGTCATCCCCATGATTATACCTATTCAGCATGTTGATGTGACATAACCCATTCTTTTTCCTACGATCAGGAATAGTTATCAGATAAGTCACTGTACTAACTCATCTGGCTACTTTCAGATGGACCATTGAATTTTGCTTCCAAATGTTCACCTTGTAAACAAAACAATATCAATACTTACCTCCCACTTGAAACTTGGTAGTTGTTAAATGTTTACCTGCCCATTCTTTCATTTTCACCTGTAAGAATTTAAAAATTCCTGTGTCATCCTACATGTACCTGTCTTTCCAGAAATATGGCTAGGTAATCCAACATTGACCATTCACCTTCCTCATTGAAGAACTTCTCCCTAATCAATTTTAATGGACCTCTAATGTCATGACCATAGGCCAATTCAAAAGGGCTAAATTGGGTAGATTCAGTTGAGGAAGCTAATGCTTTGTCCCATTCGTGTGGATATTCATGACAGTATGCCTTAATCATTGTTTTGAGAGTCTGATGACAAAGTTCCCTGACTTTAATTGTTTTATTTCCAAACTGCTATTAATTTCTTGGAAAATTTTAGACCTGAAGTTAGAACTCTGATCAGACTGTACCTCAGATGGGAGTCCATAACACTGCACTAAATTTTCTGCTGCGACCCTAGCTGTATTTGCTCTTAAAGGAACAGTGTTGGCGTATTGAGTTGTCATGTCCTTAATTGCGACACATACATTGGAATTGTATAAGCTCTGGCACTGGCTATGATAGAGGCCTCAACAGAAAGGGTTGGTGGGGGTGGGGTTGGTGGTGGTAGTGGGGTGGGAGCGGGGGTAGGGGTGCGGTGGGTGGAGACCAAAATTTCATGGAGAGAAATGTGTGTACTGCAGGTGGATTCCGCAAGTCACTTGCAATGAAGCAAAAAGCATGGCTGAATTATCATAAAGGTTCAAAATTACAGTCAGCTAACTCTACTCAAAAATAAACAATTGAGGAAGTTATTTTTCACAAGTTGTCGGCCACAAGTTGTTTATACTCAGTGTCAAATGAGGTCAGGCTCAAACTAAAAACATACCTGCATTTTGAGAATACAGTAGCATTGTATTTTGGAGGCCCAAGGAATCTGGGTGTGATAAGACTGCAATCTGAATTATTTTGAGCCAAGTTCCTTTTGAGTAATGGAGTTAAATCTTCACCTGAAAAGTACATCGGGACGTGTTGGGACAGAGTAGCTAAGTTTCACACCATACAAAGTCATAGAGTTGTATAGAACGGAAACGGACACTTTGGTCTAATTTGTCCAAGCTGACCAGATACCCTAACTTAATCTAGTTCTATTTATCAGCATTTGGCCCATATCCTCTAAACCTATGAATATCTTCTATTCATATACCCAGCCAGATGCTGTTTAAATGTTGTTATTATAGCAGCCTCCACCACTTCCTCTGGCAGCTCGTTCTATACATGTACCACCCTCTACGTGCAAACATTGCTCCTTAGGTCCCTTCTAAATAAATCTCCTCTCACTATATATCTATGCCCTTCTACCTTTGGACTCCTCCATCCCGGGGAAAAGACCTTGGCTATTCACCCTATCCATGCCTCTCATGATTTTATAAACCTCTATAAGGTCACCGCTCAGCCTCTGACCATCCAGGGAATATTGCCCCATCCTATTCAGCCTCTTCCTTTAGCTCAAACCCTCCAACCCTGGCAACATCCTCACAAATCTTTTCTGAACCCTTTCAAGTTTCACAACATCCTTCCTATAGCAGGGAGAACAGAATTGCATGCAGTATTCCAATGTCTTACACAGCCACAATGTGACCTCCCAACTCCTATACTCAATGCACTGACCATTAAAGGCAAGCATACCAAACACCTTCTTCACGATCCTATCTACCTGTGACTCCACTTTCAAGGAATTATGAACCTACACTCCAAGGTCTCTTTGTTCAGCAACACTCCTTAGGACCTTACCATTAAATGTATAAGTCCTGCCCTGATTTGCCTTTCCAAAATGCAGCACCTAATATTATCTAAATGGGTCTGGGTGGGATGCTCTTTGGGGTGGCGGTGTGGACTTGTTGAGACAAATGGCCTGTTTCCACACTGTAGGGATTCTATGAAATTATCTCACGTGGGCAGTACAATGGCTCAGTGGTTAGTACTGCTGCCTCACAGCAGTAGGGACTCAGGTTCGATTCCACCCTCAGGCGACTGTCTGCATGGAGTTTGCACATTCTCCCTGTGTCTACTTGGATTTCCTCCAGGTGCTCTGGTTTCCTCCCGCTGTCCAAAAATGTGCAGGCTAGGTGGAATGGCCATTCTAAATTGCCTGTTGTGTTCAGGGATGTGTAGATTAGGGGTGGGTTATAGGGGGATGGGTCTGGGTGGGATGTTCTGAGGGTCATTGTGGTCTTGTTGGGCCGAAGGGCCTGTTTCCACACTGCAGGGATTCTATGATCTGAGCTTCATTTGCTACTCCTTGGCCCATCTGATCAAGATCCCATTTTACTCTGAGGTAACCGTCCATCGCTATCCGCTACACCTCCAGTTTTGGTGTCATCTGCAAACTTACTAACCATACCTCCTATATTCACATCCAAATCATTTATATAAATGACAAAAAGCAGTGGACCCAGCACCAATCCTTGTGGCACACCACTGGTCACAGACCTCCAGTCTGTAAAGCAACCCTTCACCATCACCCTCTGTCTCCTATCTTCGAGCCAGTTCTGTATCCAAATGTCTAGTTCTCCTTGTATTCCATGTGATCAAACCTTGCCGACCAGTTTACCATGAGGAACCTTGTCAAACGCCTTATTGAAGTCCATACAGATCACGTCCACTGCTCTGCTCTTTGTAACCCCCTTTGTTACTTCTTCAAAAAACTCAATCAAGTTAGTGAGACATGATTTCCCACGCACAAAGCCATGTTGACTATCTCTAGAGATAGTAGGAACTGCAGATGCTGGAGAATCCGAGACAACAAGGTGCAGGGCTGGATGAACACAGCAGGCCAAGCAGCATC